GGTACCGGTACATCCTGGGATTACAATATCTCTTCTGTTTATTTTACCTTGATATAGGGGTCCAACGTTCAAGATTTATTTGTGCTAGTCAGCACCACTGATCAGCATTATGATGCCCAAGTGAGAGACAGAGATGGTTACCTGGCAACCCTGGCGGTTTTGGGAGAAAATGGTGTGGAAGCACTGCAAGGTAGGCAACGTAGTGTTGTGCTGTGATGTACACGTGTCTGAGAGATTATGAGATTCCTTCTGATGTCTGCCTGTACTAATTCTGATCTAATATGGCGGACTGGCTCTATATATGCGCATGATAAGCATACATACTGGAATATCTGATCTTAAAAGATGATTTCCTATGATTTATTTTTATGTCATTTCACATCTAGGATCTCGAATCAGAGCACTAGCTTCAGCATGGGCTCGAAAAGACCATGAAATGGTTCAAGTTTTTCTTTCCCAGCCTGAACTATTTGGTTTGGTGGAGGTTCTCAAGGCGCTGACACTGCTGGACTCAGGGCGTAGAATGCGAGAGTATGAAAAGAAACTACGTCGACTGGAAATGCAGGGAAAGGTGAAGCGCAAGACACTTGGACCACTCAAATCGAACATAGACAATTTGAATTCAGTTAAGCCTAAGCATGGTTCAGTCAGTGGGGCAGTGGCAAGACATGTGAGGCGATGGGTGAGAACGCTGCCAGCTGATCAGTTAGAGTTTTATGCTCTTCACCTCCCTAAAGAGCCATGGAGAAGACTGGCTGATGTGTGTCACTTCAACCCAGAAAAGGTAGGATTCTATAAATCGAATACAATGCAGAGGATACTGTTTCTTAGGTGACTTTCTAAACCTAACGTTTGGTGTAATGGTTAATGTATGTATTTTAATCTTTTCAAGGATTTTCCAAATCTGCCGTGGTTCCTTCGATACTGCTATGGTGATGCAGCTCCCGATGGCTCTATGGTTAAAAGCTGCGGCCACCTGAATGCAGAGAATGTCAATGAGCTGGTCAAAGGTCATGATGTACCGTACGCCCATCTGAAAGAGCTGAATAACCACCTTGATGATGTCAGCAAGGCCCGTATCGCTAGTTACGAAGATAAATTAGACACTTTACTATGGTGAGTGGGTAACTTTTATACTGTAAAATATTTTTTGCTTGGAATTTACTTTCACTATTTTCGCTGAGCCATGATTCAGTGAAAATAAAATCCAGCGAATATACCATTTTTTCTATATTTTAAATTTAACTCATCAAAAACCAGTGAAAATAAATCCCATACAAAACACCAAAAATGTCATTTCAGCGAAAATTAATTCCAGCTAAAATTATTACTCTGTATTTCTTGAAAAATTTTGATTGTTGGAAGAGTGCAAATACATTTACCACAAATGCAAATTTTGTATTTGCTCTATTAGTAATGTACTATGGAATACTTTATTTTCGCTGGAATTAATTTTTGCTGAAAAGGCTTTTTGGGCATTTTTTATGGAATTTATTTTCACTGATTTTTGATGAGTTTAATGTGAAATATTGGAAAAAAAGTATATTCGCTGGATTTTATTTTCCCGGAATCATCCCTTCAGCGAAAATAGCGAAAATAAATTCCAAGCGAAAATAAAGTATTCTACAGTATGTATTTTAAAGTTTTTGTGCTCAAAATAATTAATATTTTAATGATGTATTATATATATTAAATGTGATTTTTGGTTTATATGCTAATTTGCTTACAATTGTGCAAATATGATATAGTTTTTTTATGGAACGCTAAATTCCATTGTTTCCACGAGAAAGAAAAGGTATATACTGTATACAGGAAACGAGATCACAATTCTCCTAACAAAAAATGATTGCACATGGCATAATATTTAAATTTTATTCAGAAAGTTTAATTTTTGTTGGTCTATGTTATGTTCTCCTTCACAGGTACTATGAGGAGTTGGCATGTGAGGCTGTAGATCAGGTGATTATGAAGAGAATGGAGCGTGGAGATGCTGTCACTCTACCATATGGTAAATTAATGGAAAGACTACTGACTCTAAAGATCATGAGAGAGAATATAGACAAACCCGGGTCTTCATCAAATGGCAGTGGATTCAGCACAGGCAGTACAGCCACTGAGGAATCGCTGAACAAAGCCCCCTTCTATCATCTATTGGTTCCAATCGCTGAAAAGATGCTTAGAAACATCAGGTGAGTTTAAATAATCATTAGCTATTAATGATTTGTTTATCTGGTGGTACATTCATTCAAATCAACAGAGATGAATTGATGAGTGCTGGAACATCACTAAAATGTGTTAGCCAATGAAATTGGATCACATAAGCAGATGCTAAACTGAAAAACATTCAGATGTGGCCTGTCATTAAAAGTGGAATATTTAATACATAATTTCCACAATTTGTGCAAATTCAGGTCCTATGTAGAAATAATCTCAGAGACCAACTGAACATTAAACTCCACCTTTGGCTGCAATCAGAAATGTTGTCAAATAAGATCAATGCGTCTGAGATTATGACCAATGTCAAACAGGGTTAGGATACTTCAAATACATGTATCACCTTTCTAGTAATAGATTCCTAATTACAGAGCATGTGATGAACAACTGTGAGTGGTATTTACCAATGCAATTCTCCAAGAATTCCCAAAGGCATTCTTGTAACACAATGCGAAAGTGAATTACCGATGTCAAAGTGCAATTTGTTTGAATTGATTTTGGCAAAAAAAGGGCATAATTTTTTTTTAAAAAAAAGGTTAATTAGCAATTTTTTGATAGGTAAACTGAATATGGAATGAAGTATTTATCACCTTTCATGGTTGTTAACAGGTCTTTGTTAATGCCATAATTCACGGACGGTTACCTTGGCTACACATTCCCACGATATCCATAGCAGTCAAAATCAACGCTGTACATCAATTTGATTACCAGTATTTGGGAAAAGTCAAACCATGCTCAACGACCAGGATTTATGACTAGACTGTCAAATTTGGAACATTTTGGAAGGGATCGGTGCTTAGCCGAATGTGAACCCAGAAATGGAAATTCTCAAAAAGTGGGGGCTGTATGCTAAGTCGTATGATGCATATTACACTGGGGTGATTCCAGTACTCGGCTTGTAGATTCGATACTGGAAACAACTCAAGAGTCTAAGGTGTATCTTAATGGAAACAACTTTGCATTGTTTTTGATTTGGTAATATATTCTATCATTGATAGTTGAACATATAATTCTGCGTGTCATTCGGTAACCTCTAAGACAGTCAGAATACTGAAATATCAATCACAGCAGAGCCCACGATACTTCTCAGTGATGTTTGGCAGTTGACGAGAAACTTCTGACGCAGACATTTTGCGAAATACAATTTATTACGATACACATGTATTTGACTTGTCAAAGGCTTGTAACACAAATTTGTCAAATTTGCCAATTGTTGGGAATATGCTCTTTCTAAAATTTGATAAAATGAAATGAAAATGTTTAGTACTTACTTATTTGTAGTAACCTGTGTATGTTTTTATTCCAGTGTACCGTTAGAAACACCGGTTGTTGTGATTGGTGATGCCTCACCATCCATGAATGTTGCAATCCGTACCAGCACTATCATAGCTAGTTTGTTATCGGCAATTGCTCATGCGCAATTGGTGTTCTTCAATACATATCTTGTCAAGCCACCTTTCCTGCCAGAGTCTGTTACCCAGGTAACTAACTTCCATTATTATCTTCATCATGCAGAACTGAATTTATTCTAGTTGGGATTTGTCTATTCACAAATTAAATTTGATTCATTTTTTCATATGTTTCATTTTTTCATCTGTCGGCAATCCATAATTACCATAACAATTATAGAAAAATACAGGCTTGCTTCAGAGGGTTTAGTGATTTGTTTACTAATTTTGTCTTCAGGTTTTAATCTGCTAGAACTAGAGTCTTATTTTGCACTTTGTTCTGTAATAGACTATTTTCCATTCATTGCACAATCCAGTGTTATGCATAGAATCAAATTGTAAAATCAGGGCAAAGCTCATAGCACTATAGTAAAGTCAAAAATACATTTCAGGGGATTTGACAAATACTTTCAGGGATATTTGCACACCCAATAATGTGCTATACACATTTGTTTATGAATTTTGATAAGAGTAGGTTAGGATTTCTTAACTCAATATTCTCCTTTCAAAAATTGGCACTGACATTGAGCTATACAAATAAAAATTAAAAGTTTTTTTTTGCGGTTAGCGTCTTTCATGCAATACGCAAGATTTTGCAGTGAACAAAAAATCACCTATTGCATCAAGTATCACTTTACCAACATTGGTTTTTTTTTTTTCCAGGCATTGGAACTTGCAGTTACAGTGAAAACCGATCACATGACAGCACCTGCTGCTGCATTGAAACCATTCTATGACAAGAAAGAGGTTGTTAAAACTTTTGTGATTGTGACTGATGAATGTGAAAACACATCCTGTGATGGATACCGGTGAGTTTTAGCGTAGCAAATCCTTCATAGAGTATACAATATAGTGTGGGTGTGTATGCACCATAGTGCAAATTAGAACACGGTACAAATATGCTGTGGGTGAATCCTCAGACCTGATTAATTTTGGTTGCCAACCATGCATATTAATGAATTAATTTGTATAAATTAGCCATTGTGTCGCTGTAGACTGAATGATTTCAAGAGTCACTTGGTACACATAGATGCATTGCTATGATCTGCAAACCTTAGTTTGGCATTTAATTCATACATATTAATTACATAATTTGCATAATAATTAGACAATCTTCAGCACAATATACAATCATTTCTTTTTTATTTTTGTTGGTATTTTTACAGTTGTCTGTCAACTTAAATTATGTGGCTCTGATTGCCTCACATTTGTGCACCTCAAAAAGCTACATCAGCTGACAGACTTCTCATTAAATAGACTAATTTTTAATTAACTATTATATATATTTTATATTTCTTTCATGAATCTCAATTATCATCTATGCATAATGTTCTTTTTTGCTTTCATAACACCTGTTATGTACTGTAAAAGGATTAATTATTCACTAGGTTTTAATTTTGCTTATTTCGCTGACTGGAAAATGTGCTAAATTAAAACCCAGTGAATATGTAAAATTGAGCATGGAACACATTATCTAAATGATAAAACCATGAATTTAAAACCCACTGAATATGCCTGAAATGGTAAATCAGCAAAATTTAAACCCAGTGAAAATTAGTCATTTTACAGTACTTGTACTAATAGCGGATGAACTTAGTAACTGTAAATAAATTGTGTAAGCTATTTGTTTGTTTTTTATTTTAAATCATAGGTTTGCACCACTGTTCAAGAAGTATCAAGAGGAGGTGTATCCTGCTAAGTTGGTGTTTGTCTCATTTTTATCCAGCCAGCACAGCCAGGGATCAATGATAACTGCATTGAAGAACTTGGGTATTAGTGCGCTTCAGTTCAAACTTGACTCTAACAGGCCAGATTTGTCGAAATTGGACAATCTCCTCGGGATTTTCTCCACCCAAGACATGGTCAGTTTTGATGAACAGGTATCTATTATGAAAGAGAAAGTAAAAGTTCAGGGTATCCTGTGTGCATTTAGGAAAACAGACAGTGACATAACCGCTGTTGAGAATCATGATGAGTTAGACAATGGTGAATATAAGGAGGATGAAGACACTGATGGAATAAAAATTGATAAAGTTAAGGGGGATGAAAACGAATCAACACAGATGAAAAATGACGCAACTAAGGAGGACCAGTCAGCTTCTGTGAATGATATAGATGGTGCCTTGTGTGAGAAGTCAGACGCTATGAATGAGAACGCCACATCTGATTCTATGAATGGGTGGGTACATGTAAAGGAAGAGGACTGGGGGACTGAGGACTTCTAGGACTGAACATGGGAAGAAAAATGATATTAATAACTTTTTTTGAATGATTGTAAATTCTCCTTCTTGAGCTGAAATGTTTATGACAATGCTACCACATGATGAAAATATAAAGAGACAACTTTATTGTGAGCAATGTTTCAATCCCCCATTCACATTCAGATTGTAATCCCGTCTGACGAAAGTATAACTATTTTGCACCATGTCTGTGGTAGGGTATACCACTGGTCTATATTATTACTGTGCTTAATTCTTAAAATAATGTATTTATTCAGTTCTACGTTTTATGTGGACACTTAGAGTGTTTGTTATAATATCATAGTACAAGTAGTTACCAATAAAAGCCAAACCTAGTTTTAATAATAAATGTTTTAATTTTAGTTTGTGTAAGGGAGTATCAGAAAAGATTCGCTTCCTGTATCACTTCAGTTGATGTGACTTCTTCGAGAAAATTACCAAATTATTTGCTTTGATATTTGATATGTAGATACCTTGTATGGGGTTCTTTCAGATTTGTTTGTCATTTTGTGGTAATATTTTCAATATTTAAAAAAAAAATGCTATTTTTAACTTCTTGAATAGTACCACACCTATTACTTTAATACCGGTACCTTGTATATTGGTACCTTTAGTGAACCTCTGTCAGATTTATTTATTTCAAACAAATATATATTCAATTCTCATATTTTTGACTTTGCAGTTAGTGCATCTGTATGTATGTGTGTGCGTGTGTGTGTATATTCCATTGATATCTCGAGAACTATATGTTGGTTTTTAATGAAATTTTATGCATATATGCTCTAGACTAATGCACAGATTCGATTCGTTTTGGGCAAAAACCCATGCATACTAATTACCTAACATGATTAATCAAATTCTGGCTTTGTCTCAAGTACCAATTATTCCATTTCAATGAAACTTGTATGTATTTGAATGCACAGATGTGCTCAGTTTTGGGTTAAAATATTTTCATTTTAATTTCCTAATTTGGATCATAATTCATATTTTTTTTTCTAATCATATTTCTACGAATCTTGGTACATAGATGGTTTATGACATTGCAGACCTTATTAGTTTTACATTATAATCTGCGCATATTTATTACTAGATTTGCATAATAATAACCGGGTAGTCTAGTTACAGCTTTTCCATCAATATCTCAAGTACTTACAAATTTATTTCAATGAATCTTGGTACTCAATACAATGCAACAAGCTAATTAGATTTGGCTTCATATACTTTAATAGTTACCCAAGCTTCTTGTTTGAAAGGCTAATCTCAAATTTGGAATTAATTTTAATGAGTACCCAATGCTCTTAATAGTTCTGAGCTTTTTGTATGAATAATTTTGAATAGCTTAGGGCAAGAACAATCTTATTGTGAGACTTTCTGTTAAATTAGCTTCATCTTAAATTAGCAATCTACTAAGACACAGAAATCTACTAAGCCAGGAATGTGTCAATGAATGTAAATATTGTGTTGCCAAACCTGCATACATGAAACCCCTGACAGCTCACATGGAATCCACACTTGGTTGATTCGTCCACACTAAGGTTCCTTGTAGTTTGGTGTGTATTTCACACAGCCCCATTCAAGGCATGTAACATTTTCCAAGTCAGGGTGTATTGCATGGAAATTCCACACCGAATAAATGCCAAGCCAACAATCCAAAGCAGGGATATTAGCACAAGAGTTCTCTTGAGTTAAACGTCTGTATCAACCACAGCAGTTGGTCATACCAGTAGAAATTCTGTAGGTTCTTGGGCAGGTTTGCAATTAATCATCCCAGAATAATGACACAATAATCACTGGCGTGGGTTCCATACAGTTGACGCAGATCTTGTGAAGTCCTTCTAAAGGTCCCATACATTTTCCAATCCATGATGCATGTCATCCAAACCGCAATCCTGCACAGAATCAGGATTCACAGTCAATTCGTCCCAATTCACATTCGTCCCAACACATTCGTTCCACAAGTCGAATCGACTTAAGGCGAATCGACTTGTGGGACGAATCGACTTGGGACGAATGTGAATTGGGACGAATCGACCCCCCCCCCCGAATCAGTGCCGATCAGTCCGGGTCTGTTGGTTTCATCTTTTCATGTAATGCAGGAACTAGAATTCTTTGATAAGGCCTCTTTATGGTTTGTTTTCATTTTCAAGGTTTGTTGCACAATGATGCACCTCCTTAGATCAGTATTCACGTTTAAAAACAATTCATGGTCTTGCTTCAAAATATTGCATAACTCGCATTGGTATTCTTGAGGCGGAATGCTCTATGTTGCTAAGACACGCACTACTGTACCATGTATTTCTATGGGTTCTGCACGAGCTGTTGTGGAACGCCGGTCAAAGAGCCGATGAAAAAGCTAACGTCAAGAAAACATCACAAACTCAACTTTGAAGTAATCCTGAGCAACCAAATTTGTATATGTTGCACACATAGGGGAAATATTGCTACAGTGTTCAGTTTTTGGCCTTTCTTTTCACCTTGGTGGTTGCCAAGCGGTGCCCGGATGCCCCTTGGATAGGGTAAATCAAAATCTATACAATTGACAGTGATAGGTTATGCCTATGTTTGTCCTCAAATTCTGCCAATTTTTAGCTTAGTTTCAATACAGCATTTTTCATGCCTAGTCACATCTGAACAATTTCGTACTGGTGAAATTATTTATCACCACAGGCAATTGCGATCCATGACTGGAGCATATTAGATATCATGACAAATGGTCTAAAATTTCAAGCATGAATACAGTCAATGATTAGATCAGACTTTACAATAACTTCCATTTTCTGCCCTGTGGGTCCTGTTTTCATCGCTGCTACTATCTGTGTAGGTTTTTACCACTTAAAATGTATTTGGTATTCCTATTACCTCCACATCAGTATTAATCAAAACTTGTCACGTCAATGATAGTGACAACTGATTTTTTATCCAACTGACAGAATGTGCCTCACCCAACACCTCTCCTGGGCAGATAGAAATATTGGTGTCAGTGGTATTACTGACCTTCACAGGCATTTGTGATCACTTCAGAACACTGGCACTTGCACTCACTGCCACACATCTCCGGAGGTAGGCTCAATAGTAACTATATATTCATCACCAGGCGTGCCTCCCTTCAAGCAACCCATTATGACCTGGTCTGTGTCAGGTCGTTTCGTCCTTGGATAGGGAACTAACGCTCACCCAGTCGGCTTTTACTTCCCACAAATCTATCTCGACCTTCTATTTGCCTACATATCTGTTGTCCCACTACTAACATCTGCATCGAGTGTATTTGCTGTTGATTGACTGTTTTTCCTCCCATGGTTATATATTTGAAAAGTATCCATCCCAACTTTGAAGGGTATGTCTACATTGTAGTCATTATCTGGAGATACAAAAGCACCGTGTCATACTCTTCTAAGAGTCGAATAGCTCCAATAGGAATGACAACCTAAGCTCAACATATCCTATATAAGGAAGGACCTCTCCTCCAGCTCCTGTTACCACAAACTCACTCGGCAAGGGATCCATGGGACAGTCCTTGAAATTCTCCATGTAACATAAATGCGCAATAGTGGACACCTGAGAACCAGAATCAAGAAGACATTTAAAAGTTTTCCCAAACATTGTCTCTTTTGGAGCAATGCCCACAATCCACTTCCATGGATCAGTCTTCATCAGATACGGTATTCTCCTCTGCAGACATAGCAAAACCTCCTTTTGAGGGATGTCTCTCCTGGTTAATGGGTATCCTAGCAACCCTCCTGGACAGAGTTTCAACTGTGGTACTCGCCTTAACATTTGTCTCAGAGCATCACAGAGAATTTCACCACACCACAATACTACTTGTCCGCCCGAACGTCCACTTCCTTTTCGAGCCAAAGGACAATGGCTGGCCCTGTGTCCAATCTCACCACAGCCGTAACATCTCATAGGTTCTCTCTGTGCATGTACAACAGGTTCAGTAGTTGTAGAACCCATCATTTGAGCAGAATTTAAAGCTGTAGCTGGTTGTGTTGAGTTGTGTGGCGGAACACCATAGAATGACTGATACTGTTCACAGTGTTCTATGCATTCTCAAATCCACTTCATACTGTCTAGCCCACATCTTATCCATCTGTTCCTGTACATTCGCCATCATCTTGGTACTCATCGATACTGCCTCGGTCAACAACTCAATCTTTTTATTGTCTATCGTAGCCTGTGCATTTTTACATGAGGACTTCTTTTAACCGCTCCTCCTTATCATGTACCCTGGTCTGGTGTAGTTCAATGTGAGTCCCCCCTCCGAGGACTGACATAACCGCTATTGGAGATACGTGAGTCTTGTACACTGTGTCCATACAAACTTCGGCTGCACCCATTTCGATAAAATGCATGCCATATATTCTATAAGCTAAGGTGCCTTAGTAATTTCTGTGTATGGATTGTTTTTTATTGAACAGATTCAATGAATCACTCGTTGCTTTTATAGCCAGTTTCTCTTGATTATTCAATGAATCTGACTACTTAGCGTTGTTCGTGTGTTCTGACGTTTTCATTGACGGTTATTTATTCACTGTTTTATTCAGTTTTCTGTTTTACATTTTCGGCCATGTCAGCTAAATTTGTTGTTGTACGGGTTTGTGCGTTTAGTCTTTGGGATGCATAAACCGCATTACAATTGCGTTTGTTACATATTTGTGTATTCAGAACTAAAAATGTATTGTTCTGGGTAATACCTTATGTAGACTCGTTTAACTGTTCTAATGTTTGGCCTATTTATTACAGGGCGAGTGCTAAATTTTATACTACTGACTTTGTGGTAAGTTGCAAATTTTGATTGCATTGCTGTTACTGATAGGAGAAATTAGACTGGGCACTTAGTATTTTATATTTTGAATTTACTAAGTAAACTAGTGCGTACTTATTGCTGCTTTAGGCTAGCCGATATTTATTCTGTGTATTGTTAGCCAGTGTGCAATTTTTGTTGTTAAATATTAAATCATTTTTGTGAGAAACTATTTAATGTGTGTTTGGTCATACACCTCCCTTGCACTAGTAAATATGGGTGAAGCTGCTCATGCCATAACCCGAACCCGTGATATAAATTTCTCTGTTTCAAGTGCTTCTACTGTGACTTTGGG